AGCGACTAAAATTATGTTTAGTCGCCAAAAGTGGTATCCGTTTTTTTTCTACTAAATAATTTATTTTTACATAAGTTATGTTCAATAAAAAATAATTATGTTTATATATATACTTTGATATTAATACGGGTCTAAGTACTATATAAATAATATATGTTGCATATATAATCATATGATGTTATGGAGGCGTAGTGGAAAAAGTGTGTTGTATAAGGTTTATGGTGTAGGAGGTTGGTGGTTTGAATCTCCACAAGAGCAGGGTGTAATTTTTTTTTCCCTGAATGAGCTTTTGGCGACTTAATCAGTTTGGTCGCCGATTCTTTGAGTATTGGCGACGAAAACATTAGTCGGTAAATGTATAATTTAAAAAAATATAATTGACTATTGGCGACTAAAGTTTTGGTCGGTAAAGACTTGCTTTTTGGCGACTAAAAGTTTTTTAGTCGCCAATACCTTTCCCGACCGTTTTCCAGCGACCAAACCGGCGACTAAAAAATTTAGTCAGAGAAACTTAAAAATCGACTTTTGGCGACTAAAAATTTAGTCGCCAAATGTGTTTTTTCTTGTAGTGAGCTGACCACTAGGCATATTTCTCCAACTGAGCTAGATGATAACAACTAACCATGCAAACCATTGATTGCACAGCAACCGCAAGACCACTGCTAAACGACAAATTCAATTAAGAACCGCAATGAAAAATGAAGTTTCGTGCGAGCCTGACAAAGTGGAGCTCGGCAATGCTGTAGACTAATCGATTACAAAAATCATTTTCATCGAGTTCAATTGGTTTGTGTGGGTTGAGCTTGAAGACATTGGTCGGAAACCCACTTCTCATGACTTACAAATTTACCACAAAGAAATCAAAGGCTCCTCAATTATGAGAATTATATTCAGTTATATGTTATTAACAGTGGCATTTTGTGTGGGGTTCGTGGATGGTAATTAAGTGATCCATATAATGCAGCCACGTAGTGGAGTTGATTACCTAGCAATCTTTTAACTGGTAGAGTAAGAAACTTTACCGTGATTATAGAACACTAAAATTTGAGGGTTGAGGAGTAGATAAGCTAGAATATGTCTCAATAAATTATTTTGATCAAATATGCTGAGATAGAGTCCGTACTTTATGGATCACATGAAGATGAATTACGCCATCTCTTGGTTAAATTTTATCTCCTCGCCAAGCTGATTTTGCTCGGAGGACTAAATTGGTGGATTGTCCAACTTTGGAATTCATTGTCGAGTTGATTTTGCTTGCCAAGAAAGAAGTTGGCAGTTTGTCCAACTTTGTCCAACTTTGAGATTCCTTGTTAAGCTATTTTTGCTTGTCAAGAAGGAAGTTAGTGGTTTGTTTAACTCTGGAATTCCTTACTGAGCTGATTTTGCTCACCAAGAAGTAAGTTGCCAAGTTGATTTGCTCGCTAATTTAAATTCATTGCCAAGGTAATTTTGCTTGCTAAGAAGAAAGTTAGTGTTTGTCCAACTTTGGGATTTCTTACCGAGTTAATTTTGCTTGCCAACTTTGGAATTCTTTACTGAGCTGATTTTGCTTGTTAAGTAGTTGGTGGTTTTTCAACTTTAGGATTCCTCACCGAGCTGATTCTGTTCGCCAAGAAGTATGTTGCCGAGCTGATTTTACTCGCTAACTTTGAAATTCATTGCCAAGCCAATTTTGCTCGCTAAGAAAGAAGTTGGTGGTTTGTCCAACTTTGAGATTCCTTGCCAAGCTAATTTTCCTCGACAAGAAGTAAGTTGCTGAGTTTATTTTGCTCGCCAAAAAAAAAAAGTTGGTGGTTTGTCCAATTTTGGGATTCTTTGTCAAGCTGATTTTCTTATTGCTAAGAAGAAAGTTGGTGATTTGTCCAACTTTGAAATTCCTTACTAAACTGATTTTGCTCCACAAAAAGTTAGTTGCCGAGCTGATTTTGCTTGCCAACTTTGAAATTCTTTGTCGAGTTGATTTTGCTCAACAAGAAGTAAGTTGTTGAGCCGATTTTACTCGCCAAGAAGGAAGTTACTCACCAAGAAGGAAGTTAGTGGTTTGTCCAACTTTGGAATTTCTTGCTGAGCTAATTTTGCTCGACAAAAAGTAAGTTGTCGAGTTGGTTTTGCTCACCAACATTGGGATTCCTTACTGGGCTAATTTTGCTCGTCAAGAAGAAGTTAGTAGTTTGTCCAACTTTGAGATTCCTTATTAAGTTGATTTTGCTTGCCAAGAAAAAAGCCCTAGCCAAGTATAATTTTTGTGGTATGTGGGAGGTTGATGGTTTGAATCTCTACAAGAGCAAGGTGTAATTTTTTTTTTTTCGGAATGAGCTTTTGGCGACTAAATCTGTTTGGTCGCCGATTCCTTGAGTATTGGCAACGAAAACATTAGTTGGTAAATGTATAATTTAAAAAAATATAATTGACTATTGGCGACTAAAAATTTAGTTGTCAAATGTATAATTTAAAAAATATAATTGACTATTGGCGACCAAAGTTTTGGTCGGTAAAGACTTGCTTTTTGGCTACTAAAAGTTTTTTAGTCGCCAATACCTTTCCCGACCGTTTTCTAGCAACCAAACCGGCAACTAAAAAATTTAGTCGGGAAAACTTAAAAACTGACTTTTGGCGACTAAACATTGACTTTTGGCGACTAAAAATTTAGTCGCCAAATGTGTTTTTTCTTGATGTGTTTTTTCTTGTAGTGGGAGAACCGTTCGAAATCAAAGTAGAAGTTCCTTGGAAAGCCCAAGTGTGTGGAGAATGCAAAATATTTGGTCATGCTACAAGTTTGTGTCCAAGTAAACCGATAACTCAAGCTCCTAGTAAACTCAAACAAGAGTGGAATGCCAAAAAGTGGTCGAGACGAACGAGGAAGACAAGCCAAGTGAATGGTTGAAGAGAAAAAGAAAAAAGGCAAGGACGTTGTCAATGCTCCCATGGGTAACTTTGTTCCTACACCTCCTCCATCTTCATTGAATGCATTTGATATTCTCAATATTTGTGTAGCCAATGAGGAGGTTTCTTTTTGTGCGGATTTTAATAGCGTGTTTAATGCAAATTGCTCCTCTTTGGAAGTGAGTAACCCCTCAAAAGATATTCCGAATGAAGAGACTTCAAAGGAAGATAAAGAAATTGTCAGGAATGTGGGTAATATAAATGTGTTAGCCCTTAGACGATTTTCACGTTCCAAAGGAGCACTGCAATCCCTTTCAGATGGAACTTCCGTTGTTCCATGGACAAACCCATCTTCAAAAGCGGAAACAAAGAAAAAGCTCCTTGAAAGAATTGCTAATCTTAAACTTGCTCAAGAGGTGAGCCTCTCAATCAAGTCTAAGAAATCAAGTCGTAAGACTCCTAGTTATATTGTTGCTTGGCCTAGCTTTAAAATTTGTTATTGTTAGATTTTAGTGTAGAAGCTAGGCTTGTGTTTTCTTCCTCAAATGGTGTTTTGCCTCCAGGCGTATCATGAGTCTCATTGTAATATTTATTTTTTTGGTATAAAACTTATGACTTACCTACAAAAAAAAAAAAGAAATGCTCTCCGGTTGAACTAGGGTCAAGCTATGATTCAATCCGTGAATAAGCACTTGTGCTCCCCAATAAGCTCACCTTCATACCCTTAATCAACCTAATAAAAATTAAAATAGGTATATCATATATAAAAAGAAGCCCTTGGCCTCTGCCTTCACTTTCACAACACGAGGAAAGCAAAAGCAATGTTGAACTCATGATGGCATGGTCTTGTGAGAGAGCCCAAACAGTCCAATATGATATCACTTGAGTTGCTTGCCTACTTCTCTCTTTCTATCTCTCTATCTTTGATTATAATCCGCCATTTTGCTTTATGAAAGTGTTTTTTTAGGACGCTGTGTCCCTTCAAAACACAAAAGCAAGTAGACAAAGACTTGAGGGAAATCCACTGATTTGCATATGATCAAATATAAACAAAGATTAAAGAAAGATAATCCACGCTCCAAATATTATTACACCACCATATAATTATTTAAGGTTGAGTTGGCAACTTACACAACACATGATTTGGATCCCCACAACAAAGGGTCTATATATCATATTGTAGGCACCACAACATTTATCCTTAAATTTTATATCTTTCGATGCTCTCATAACCATACAAATTTGCTTCAAAATTCATGGATTTTGAGATTTTTATGATTAGAAATGCATTAGAAATATGAAAATAAGGTTTGAAAAAGCAATTATTTTTTTTGCCACTTGGTAAGATATTAGTTGATTAATAAAATTAAATTACCCCAACGGTCATTCTATTATTGAAATGGCATCGCCACATAAATGTAAATTAAAAATCATATATTTTATTTTATAATAAAATAAAATCATTTTATTTTATTTTATAATAATTCTGTAAAAAAAATGTAAATTATATAATGTTACGAGTGACATTTTTGTAATTAAAAATCATTTAAATCGACATTTTATTTTAAAATAATAAATTTCAATACAATCATAGAGTAATACAACACTTACCATATTTTTATATCATATTTAAGTGTACCATCTTATGTGTCAACATCTACATTAGAGATAAATATAAATAGTAAAACTCATTACACCAATAATATAATAACACGTAAAATAGTATACCAAAATTTATATAAAAAGAAGGTAAATATAACACACTACAATCATATCATTTTGTATATAAATTCTCAATATTTTTCCGTAGTATATTCAATTGAGAGACCTCCTTTTGGAGAAAAAGCCAATCACACATTTGAAAAATTATTGATTAGTTCTGGAACACTACGTGACTATATCTCAAGTTAATCACAAAACCCTTATATCTTTCTCATATTTTTCAATTACCCAATACAAAATTATAGATCCTATCCTCTCCACCAATCACAATAAATATGGAGTATCACGTTGCCCCTAGACCAGCCAATTACTTCTCCTACACCTTTGGTTATGTCACTACCTTTAGCTTTGCATGTATATATATGCTATCTAACTATCCAAACAAAGCTACCACAAAACTCCATGGAAACTCCCCGGCGCAAGAACAGCTCCGGCGACAAGTTCTCCTTCCCAAACATTCTCCCAATCCAAACCCAAGACTCTGAATTCGAATTCGGCTCCATTACACCCAGCTCCCCAAACTCTCCAGCCGACCACCTATTCTACAACGGCCGTCTTTTGCCACACGCTTTTCCATTCCAACCCACAACCACCGCCGGCGCCGGCGCATACACTCGCTCGACTAGCCGGACCGGCAGCGTGAGCAGCAAGGACTCATTAATGTCGTCTCGGAGCAATAGCAGCAATAGTAGGAGTAGCAGTTGCAGCACCAGTGCTAGAACAAGCACTAGTGAGGCTTCTGATATGAGGAGGCCATTGAATCGAGCTAAGTCGGCGAACAAAACATCGTGTACAAGAGATAAGTGCCAAGCTGTTTTGAATCAGCAATATGGGTCTTCTCAGAGATGGCAGTTTATTACTCCGGTGCCGGTTTTGAACCGCCAGGTTTCACGGCGGCAAAGCAAGAAAGGAGAGAAAAAAGGCAATAATGGGTCCGGCGGGAGGGCCGGGTTTGGCCGGAGGTTTTTGAGGTGGTTCATGTCAGCATGCAAAGAGTGTCATGCTATTGAGCCCTGCAAGAGGCTGAAAGGAAATATGTGAAAGTGTAAAAGGTTTTTTGTTTTTTGTTTTAATTTTTTTGGCATTAATTTTAGAATTTGCTACGTTATTGGTTGGAGTGATTTTGAAGGAAAATATGCTTTTGCTTTTAAAAGCAGAAACTGCTTTGGATTTTGGTGTTAGGAGATGGGCAAGTACTTTCCAAAATGCTAACAAATAGGTCAGGTTTGTTTGGGCGGATTAGATTAGCATTTTTATGACTAATAGTCTTAGGATTACGAATCCGTTACATTATGTATTCTATCTTAACTAATAGTCAAGTTTAAAATAATTAGTCCGTACTTCAATTGCTTAACCAAACATCGGATTAATAATTTTATTGGACTATTAGTCCAATCCCAAGCTCATGTCCACCCAAACAAACATGACCATAATGTTTACTATCTAGAGTGTCATGCTATTGAGCCCTGCAAGAGGCTGAAAGGAAATATGTGAAAGTGTTAAAGGTTTTTTGTTTTTTGTTTTAATTTTTTTGGCATTAATTTTAGAATTTGCTACGTTATTGGTTGGAGTGATTTTGAAGGAAAATATGCTTTTGCTTTTAAAAGCAGAAACTGCTTTGGATTTTGGTGTTAGGAGATGGGCAAGTACTTTCCAAAATGCTAACAAATAGGTCAGGTTTGTTTGGGCGGATTAGATTAGCATTTTTATGACTAATAGTCCTAGGACTATGAATCCGTTACATTATGTATTCTATCTTAACTAATAGTCAAGTTTAAAATAATTAGTCCGTACTTCAATTGCTTAACCAAATATCGGATTAATAATTTTATTGGACTATTAGTCCAATCCCAAGCTCATGTCCACCCAAACAAACATGAGTTTACTATCTTGGTGCTGTGGAAATAATCATTTCGTGTTGGTCTTGATTAATATTGACCACAAAATAAAACATTGAATATGATGGTAATACTTCAATAACACATTGTATTATTTTATTACAATAATTTATCACATATAATGATGAACTCTACTAGTGAAATATAACTACTAAAATTTAACATAATTGAATACTGGGCTTGCATAGTGAAATTCATTATGCACATATGATAGTTATTATTAAATGATACGGCATTACATGTTAGTAATCAAATCATTACTGCTATATTATAATTTTTGAAAAATGATATATACTTATTTTCTAAATCTAATGATGTGTAAGTGAAATGATTAATTGATAATTAAAGAATATGTAAAAAAAATATTACCTTTAATATTTTAATTAATTGACACATTACTAGATTAGATAAGCATAGAAATAGGCACACTAAATCCTTCATCTGTTAGGCCAACGATTCCTGTATCGGTGATGCAACTTTCTATGGCTTGGGATGGTCCCCTATTGATGAATAAAATCACTCAAAATAAAGTGGGTGTTTGGGAAGTTGTTATTTTCGTAAACTATTTTAGTTTTTAACTATTTTAGTAAGTTAAAATTTTTGTGTTTTGGAAGATAGATTTTTTTGTAGTTAGATGTAATGTTTGTGAGAAAAAAAGTAAAATGATTATGGATTTGATGTGATATTTTTTCTTATTGACTATTTTAACCTATTTTGTTTTGTTGTGAATTTTAGCTCAAAAAATCCAAAAAAAAGCCGTTGCCAAACAAATTGAGGTGTTGTTTGGAAAGTGGGTTGGCTTTTTGACTTTTTTGGCTCTTTTAGCCTGAGGCTAAAAAACTGGTTTGGGAAGGGTTTTAGGTTTTTTTTACTTTTTTATGAGAGAAAGAATGTAATGATTATGGGTTGGATGTGATATTTTGTCTTATTGGACTAAAAATCCTATTTTATTTTTTGTGTCTAATTTAGCCAAAAAAAGCCTCAAAACTATCTTCCCAAACGGAGCTTGAGTCTAATTTTTTTTTATTTTGAATAACAATACTCATAATTTTACCCTGAAAAGTCAAAGCTAAGATTTTCGAAGTATTTGCTGAGGGTTCTAGCTATCTGATAGCCAACGAGGGGTACATCTTTAGAGCATCTCCAACGGTAATAGGCAAAAAACCTAGGGAAAATTAGTCTAGGGTCCCTCTCCCACTTTTCATAATGGAAGAGATCCACAAAATTATTTTTTGATATCTAAGGTCCCTAAACATATATCAGAGAAATTTGACTGGGTTTGATCCTCCTCCTCAAAACCTCATTGCCCCATTTCAATCATCAACTTTGCCGCAGTCTCACTATAATCCTCCACATTCGGCGCCAACGTGGTCTAGTATGCAGCACACTGCTCCTTCTTCTTCTTCGACTCCAAATCCTCCAGTGTAATCTCCTTCACGACCATTACATCCAACACCTCCGATTTCTTCCCCTTTTTCGACACCATCTGTACCGAAAAGCTACTGTAATGCTCCAAAACTTCATCAAACTCTTTCAACAAACCTTATCTTGCCCCTTGGACGCAATCGTCAGCCCGTAATTCAACAAATTATCCGGATCAATCACCGATTCCTTCTTTCCAATGGCTTGCCGTTACAAAATGGAGGTGAACGTTGTCTGCATAGGTTCAAATGAAAAAGGAAAATGGTCAAACAGTCATGATTCCTCTCTTCCAAAGTCAAGAAAACATTGCTGGGAAGGTATTTCAACGTGTAGTATGGCTGTGATTGTTGATTACATTTATTCTCACTGTTAAATTTAGATACTAGCTTCAAAAGTATTAGTTTGACAATCTAAATACTCTGAATTTATGTGTGTGTATATATATATTAATGATGGTGTCATTTAATAGAGAGAGAGAGAGAGAGAGAGAGAGAGATGGTAGTGAAGCAGATGAAAGTTGAAGGTTGGAGTGGTGAGTGATGTGGATATATCCCCAGAGAAATTCTCTGGATTTGAACTAAAATTTCTCTAGGTCGATCTAGAAAAATTTCAATATGTCTCTGGGGAGGTAATATTGTGAAAATACAGAGAAATTTCTCTAGAGAGTGGGAAGTATATGGAAGGCAGAGAAATTTGAAATTTCTCTGGAGAGTGCATGAAAGGCTAGAGAGGCCAAAGAAATTTAAAATTTCTCTGGAGAGGGCTGTGATTGTTGATTACATTTATTCTCACTGTTAAATTTAGATACTAGCTTCAAAAGTATTAGTTTGACAATCTAAATACTCTGAATTTATGTGTGTGTATATATATATTAATGATGGTGTCATTTAATAGAGAGAGAGAGAGAGAGATGGTAGTGAAGCAGATGAAAGTTGAAGGTTGGAGTGGTGAGTGATGTGGATATATCCCCAGAGAAATTCTCTGGATTTGAACTAAAATTTCTCTAGGTCGATCCAGAAAAATTTCAATATTTCTCTGGAGAGGTAATATTGTGAAAATACAGAGAAATTTCTCTAGAGAGTGGGAAGTATATGGAAGGCAGAGAAATTTGAAATTTCTTTGGAGAGTGCATGAAAGGCTAGAGAGGCCAAAGAAATTTAAAATTTCTCTGGAGAGATAATTTTGTGGGAAGGCCGGTAAAGTCAGAGAAATTTTCAAATTTTCTCTGGACTAATTTTCTCTAGATCAACTTGAAGAACCTTAGATATTATGAAAATATTAAATATCATTTATGCTATAAAATCTTAATACGAGGGACCTTAAAAATAAAAAAAAATTAAAAAAAACCTTTTACCTATGTAAACATTATTATAAAATATATATTTTATTTTGCCTATCAACTTTTTCATGTTTCTACTTCAACCATATTCTTTATTTTAATTATTCATCTAAATATTATTAATTTTATAAAATGTCACATCAACAACAAAGATGGAGGGAAATGATCCTAATGATTAAATACATTTTGCCTAAACTTGAAGGCTAGCTACATGTAGATAGTGAATGCGAGTTAAGTTAAAAATGCCTTATCATATGCCTAATGCATTTGAGTTGAAAAAAATAAGTTATACTAGGTATTTTAACTAACAAGTATGATATACCTAACAGGTTGGAGATGCTCACCAAGTGCTAGTTTTGAGTAGAATATTTAGGCATTAATAATGTTAATCACTTATAAAAAAATATATTATATGATTGACATTTATCTTGAATGTGATATGGATTATACTTAAAATAAGATTTCGATTACATAATAAATTTTTTATATTTTTTCTATGTCTTAATTATATTTACTTAACCTGCGTTTAGGTCATATCATAAGTTTTGATAGAGATTTAAAAAATACGAAAGTAAAATATAAGAGAAATATGAATCAAATATAAATTAAGTTTGTTAAAAATTATTATCCAAATTTATGATTTAAATATTATCTTAAAAATTTGGGAGAATTACCCCTTAGTGATTGTCGGGAAAACAAATTATAAAAAAATAATAAATTTTATAAATATTAACAATTAAAAATATTTAAACAAATCACAATAATTTTTTACAATTTACTAGTAATATTCCCTAAAAATTTAGGCATATACCCGTCACACCAAATTGCCAAGTTAAGACTAGGCCAGGTATATCTTCACCGCATATAGCCTATAGGTAACATGTGAGTGGTCAAAGGCCAACATTGGAGAGACAGCGAGAGGTTTGACTCTTCCACCAGAAAGCTGTAAGAGTTATTGCCTAGTGCCAGTGTTGTCTCTCAAACTAGTTATCATAAATTTATAATATAGTTCTTGAATAAAAATAAAATAAATAAAATTATAATATAGTTCTCATTTAAACAAATCACAATAATTTTTTACAATTTAGTAGTAATATTCCCTAAAAATTTAGGCATATACCCGTCACACCAAATTGCCAAGTTAAGACTAGGCCAGGTATATCTTCACCGCATATAGCCTATAGGTAACATGTGAGTGGTCAAAGGCCAATATTGGAGAGACAGCGAGAGGTTTGACTCTTCCACCAGAAAGCTGTAAGTTATTGCCTAGTGCCACTGTTGTCTCTCAAAGTTATCATAAATTTATAATATAGTTCTTGAATAAAAATAAAATAAAATAAAATTATAATATAGTTCTCAACTTGTATCTGCAATTTGTACAATAATTTGAAAAGTGTAGAAAAAAAGGGATTTGTTGACTAAATTTTAGCTAAAATATTAAATAAATAAAAGAAAAATAGGCACTTGGAAACTTTTCCACCTTCCAAGCAAAAGGCTGTATATACCTGAATTTTTTACAATTAATGATAATAGCATGAAAACATTAAGAATTCGTTTGGCAAACACTTTTTTTGAAAAATCCTAACCAATAATTTTAATAAATGCGTAAAAAATATATTAAAAAATAAAAAGTACAGTATATAAAATGAAAAATAATTTGTTTATAAACTTTTGTATAGAATTTATGATAAAAATGATTTGACACTAACATTGTTAAAAATATAAATTAACATAATGAGTCTTTTATTTTAAAATAATAAAATCAAAACTTATCATATTATTTGTATTCTTTTTTTATATAAATTTTTTATTTATATATAAGTACACACATAAAAATATGTGCAATATTTTGAAATGTAGCCTCCGTTTGAGAAGTGAGTTGGCTTTTTAGTTTTTTGATTTTTTTGACTATTTTAGCCTGGGCTTAAAAGCTTGGTTTGGGAAGGACTTTTTGACTTTTTGACTTTTTTAAGTTTTTTTTGTGAGAGAATAATGTAATGATTATGGGTTGGATGTGATGTTTTGTTTGTTATGATTAAAATAGCCTATTTTATTTTTTATGACTAAAATAACCAAAAAAACCTACAAACTGACTTGCCAAACACAGCTGTCAATTAATTGTATTCAAAATTTTGCTTTTTGCCATTTTTCTATTCTTATTGATAGTCGTCATTACGAAGACGCTTTTCCCCCAATATTTTTTCCCTTTTAGGCCAAAAGGCCTAAAAACCTGCGTGGCAAATGATTTCTTTTGTACCAATGATATGTTAATTTAGTAGTAAGAAGTTTGTCCACCTCGTTCAAGAAGTGAATTCAAAAATCTCTCATAGCGAGATTATTAGGAGTATAATAATTTCTTAATACTCAGAATACGTTAGAATCTTAACTTCGACCCTGACATAAATGTTAGTTTTGACCAATATTTGTAGGTATTAAGAAGCAATGCTTCCTAACGGATGCGTACAATAACCTACCTATACATCCATTTATGAATCAAAAAAATTTTTTTAAAAAAAAAAGATTTCTTTTCTTATAAAAATTAAAAATTAAAATAAAAAACAAGGTGCTTTGCTAAACATATTTCATATAAAGGCCTAAACACTGTTTGGCAAATGATTTCTTTTGCCAAACATGTTTCATATAAAAGGTCAATTGGACATTTTTTGAAAAAATATTTTTTCTTTCTAAAACAAATCACACAAATATAAAATATTTGCCAAACCCTTATATGCCACTTTTATTCCATCTCAAGCCTCTTTGCCTCAACAATCCTTAGGGTTGGGTTTGGTTGGCCTTAAGCTCAACCATCATGCTCTCACAATATCCTCTTCAATTTAAACAATATTGCAACATACTTTTGAGAAACACTTTCATATTTTGCATAAACTACAAGTCTACTACAACAAATTATCCAAAAATAAAAGATGTTTCAATAAATGGAACAAAGAAACACTAGATGAAAGATAGCATCAAACTAACACAAGATTGAGCAGCAAAGCAAAACAAAGCAAAAGCATTTGCTAGATACAACTTATCATATCAACCCTTTATTCTCCAAAACAAACCTCTTGAAATCATTCTAAGAAGGTCTCCATGACATCAGAGTACATTCCCTCTCCAGAACTTTTGTACTCCATTGGATTATTATGCGGATGGTGATGATGATCAAGTGAATTCGACGAGGCCATTCTTGCTGGTAAGGTGAAGCTCCTCTTGAACTTGTTTTCCATCTTTTGCGCACTTTCTGGGTTGTGGCTATCCAAGCTCAAGAACTCATTGGGATTCGTATGATGCATATTCAAAGCATCTGAATTTGGATTTGGCGGGTGGCAATTGTCATTCTGGTCTGGGGTGAACAAAAGCTTAGGGTCATCACTACGCCTGGTTAGGGCATTGAAGAAAGACAACCCATTAGGCCATTTGATGTCGTTTTCGCGGTCTCCAATCATGTCTTCCATGCGGGATTCAGATGAATGAGGATGGAGAAACATGTGGGTTGCGGAGTTTTGAAAAGTGGGAGATGGAGAGGGAAGTGGCCTCGGGCCCCAATTGAAGAGGGGCGGTGGAGTGCGAGTTGGAATGTGGGGAAGCTTCAAAGAAACAGAGGAAGAAGGGGAAGCAGAGTTTCTGGTTGAGGAGAATAGCTGGGATAAGTAGAAACCAGATTGGTAGCCAAGTGATTCGAAAGTGTGTCTCATTCTCAGCACAAAGTGGAGGTCCTCGGGTATCTGAAAGATGATAAATATTGGCTGATTAATGTGTTTATAGTGTTTTCATTTTCTGCATTCATTTTTCAGAGATCAGATTAACTTGTTTGGCAACTGTTTCCAAGAAGTTTTCTGAAAATAACCTAGTTTTTAGGAAACACGATGCACAAAATGAAAGAGATGCGAACATGATAAGTATTTTCAAACTTTTCTTTATTTGTTTCGAAAAACAAAAATGATAGATGAAAACGGGGGGAAACGAAATCACAACCGAACATGGCTTAAATGGATATGAAACTCACAATCTTGCAGGAACCAAGTTGTAGAAGGCCATGGCCAGCTTGAATTACAGCTATGGTCTGAACAAGGGAAACAAAAAGAAAAACATAGCAAGTAAATCAAGAAGGAAATTAAAGAATTTGCATATAAAGACAACACAGTAGCAAATAGTTGCAACAGTTTTCCAACTTTTGAAACTGACCTGAATGCCTAACTCAAACTGCTCAGTCCATTCAGTGGGAAGCTGCAATTTATAACATCCAAATGGATTGAGAGTTATTTTTTAAAGTAGCTCTCCTATTAACACAAAAACCGATCACATAATTTGACACATAATATATATGAATAGATAAGATTTTATAAAATTTGTTGATGCGATCCACATCTAAAAAGTCTATATGGATTCTAAGTCCAATTTTGTGATCAGTTTTTGTCTTACACCTCGTACTACGATTTATAATTGAAAAGAAGCATTCTAAAATTTCACATCCTTGAACCCTAAGAGAGGTATAAGTTTTCTTAATACATACAGCATCAAAAGAACTCTGCCAGTAATTGGAGATGTTTGGTTCACTTTCAGTAGGCTCTTTGAACACCCATTTATGACACTTATCAGAAGCAACCTTTCCCATCAACCTGATCAGACCAATTTTTACCCGATTAAACACACACATATCAAATTCTCTTTCCATTATATGACCTATTTTGCTACCCTAGATGACTGTGCTCTTCCAAACACAGAAATGTGTGTGTGAATGAGAGAGAAAATTGAAACCCAAAATAAAAAAACACCTACCCAGTACCCACCCTTCTCCGTAATTATACAACTGGATGGACATTTTGCAGAAGGCTTTCCTGACAGGATCCTCCCCCTCAATTTCTTCCAGGCAATCTGCAACTCTTCCTCTGCAAAACCCATCTTCCCACATCAACATCCTGCACCCGAAAAACACACAATAAATTTTCTCTTCAGCCAAACAGTACTTAATCTGAAAACAAAACAACAATAAAATCAATAATTAGTAGAACCCATCTCCTCATTTATCCATTTATACCCATGTACCCCTTATTTTCCTCTGTTTCTTGAAGAAAATTAGGTGAAGAAGAACATTACTCACAAGCTACCATTGTCGTCTCCAACTTTGCAGCCATTACCTCCTCTAACTCTCCTGAAAAAAATGGAAGAGACCCATTTCAAAATACATCAAAAATTAAGGGTCTTTGAGAGAGAGAGAGCGCGCGCGAGAGAGACAGAGAGAGAGACAGAGAGAAGGGAAAAAGGGAGATACGGGCGAGGGCGAATTGTCCAGAAAACAGAGTAAGTCCAGTCTGAGTTGAGACAGACGCTTCTGAGGGCCTCATGAAGGGCCATCATCCCAACAGCTTCTTTGCTCCTATCTGATCCTCCTGAGCCCACCATCTCTCTCTCTCTCTCTCTCTCTCTCTTGTCTTTTTTCCTGTTTCACTTCCACAAATAAACCCTCTCTCTCTCTCTCTCTCTCTACCTCTGAGAGAGTCTAACTGAGCTTTTTTAGGAAGTCTACAATGCTAAACAACCAAAAGGGAGGAGACCCTTTCTTCATCCCACTGGTAATCTCTCTCTCTCTCTCTCTGTCACACAGTACTATTTCTCTCTATATTATTCCTTTTTGTTCCTCCCAAGTAATCAAGTTGAGAGTAATCTGAGAGAGAGAGAGAGAGTTTGATGTTTGTGGAAAAAATAGTAGAGTCCAACGTTTTTATTTTATATAAATATAAAAATATATTTTTTAAATATTTTATTAAAAATTTATATGAGTATGAGATTTATAAATCTTATATTTATATAAGTGATTTAATAAAATATTTAAATACTAGCTATCCTCTTTTTTTAACCATAAAAAAACAGTGGGAACAGCTTTTATCCTCCATTAAAAAGGACAAACAGTGTTCGTGAGGGAGGGAGGCAAAAAGGAGAGTCTTGCTGGCCTTGGGAGGATTAGATATCAAATGACCTTCTTACCCTTTTACAACAATGCTACAGACCACTAAATTCCTACCACTAACACCATCACTAATGATGTGGAAAGCAAAAAAAAACAAAAAACAAAACAAAACTAAGACACAAAATACATGTGGCAGTGGGTGGGACCCACTACCACATCATTAGAGCAACCACTAATTAGTGGTCTCCATCATTTTTCTTTTACTAATTTCAGTTTTGTATCTTCGTTGGGGGGCTTTGGTTTTGCTTGCTTAACCAACGCACCTACCTACTTCGTACCATACTCCCAAACAACAATGATTCATCCCACTAAAAACATCACCACTAATAGCACTAATGCATTAAAAAAGTAAAAAAAAATAAAATAAAATACAATTCCAAGATTAAATACTAGCTATCCTCTTTTTTTAACCATAAAAAAACAGTGGGAACAGCTTTTATCCTCCATTAAAAAGGACAAACAGTGTTCGTGAGGGAGGGAGGCAAAAAGGAGAGTCTTGCTGGCCTTGGGAGGATTAGATATCAAATGACCTTCTTACCCTCTGTTTATTTTACTAATTTCAGTTTTGTATCTTCGTTGGGGGGCTTTGGGTTTGCTTGCTTAACCAACGCACCTACCTACTTCGTACCATACTCTCTAAAGCTCTGTTTGGATGAACATATTCATGTACCTAAAAACCCTCTAAAATTTAAATAAATAATAATGTTAGGGATCGTAAAAATAATATTATGAAATGTTTTATAAAAATTCTCTATCTTTAAATTACACATATAATCAAACATTATATAATAATCAAAAGATAAAAAATCTCAATGAAACATTTTATAATATTTATTTTATGATCTCTAACAATTCTTGTGTCAAAATTATGAGATTTGTTATATTTTTTCAAAATCTTATAGATGATTAGTGCAATTTATCTATTTTTCAAGGAGAATGTTAAATAAATGAAAAATAGATAAACTAAGGGGTATTTAGGATGATCTTTAACTTTTTATGAAAGATGTGTCAAAAAGTAAAGAAGTGATGTAATCTAAATAAATAAGCTTATCTAAATAAATACACTTATATAAATTATGTCAAACACCCATTATAAATTAATAAAAATGTTGCAATTTGTTACGCTTGGTACAGTTTGTAATTAATCTTTACAATTTTCGTTTATTTGATATTTTTTTTTAAATTTTTTTGAAACAAACTAAATAACTTCATAATTCAATTATAAATTGAAAAATGTTTGAGTGCCACAATTTTTTTGATCACAATGACTCAAAATTGTCAAAACGACGTTGTTTGGCATGTTTTGCACTCAAAATGACATCATTTTGATATTTTAAGCCATTATGACTATAAAATTGTGACCCTCTAGCATTGTTGTTATAAATTTTCGCTCATTCATTTTGCCTCGTACGGAAATATATAGAAAATGAGCTGGATAATGTCACATCCAGGAATATATTTTGAAAACTGCTTTTTGTGTTTTTCTAGTGTTTCAATGAGTTGACATTAGAGTGGAATTATTCCCAATCTTATTCAAAAGTTTGTTTATTCCCTGTTTGGATGGCAGATTAATCGGAATCCGGATCCTGTTTTTGCCAACCACAAAACAACTTGACAACTAAAGGTTGGTTTGGAATGTCCTAAAAAAGTGTATTTTTTATTTTTTTTACGAAAAGATGTACAGAAAAATAGAGAGGTGATGTGATGGAAAAAAGATAAAAAGATAAATTATATAGGTTATGCCAAACCAACCCTAAGACACCGTTTGACAAGTGAATTTTTTAGTTAAAAAGTTAAAAAGTTATTAAAAAAATTAAAAAATTAACAATTCGTATCAAAAAATTAAAAATTTTATTTTCTCTCTACTTTTTATATATCTTTTCATAAAAAATTAAAAAATCATTCTAAACATATAAATTTTTTTTAAATCATATTTTAATTAAAAAATTAAAAAATTATTAAAAAAATATATTCTCAAACGACACCTAAGCGTTGCCTAATAAGGTAAAGGGTAAACAAAGACATTGGGTGGCACAGAATCTTTATGCTGGTCAAAAGAAATATGAACCATTCTGAGTGTAAGATTTGTATTAATATTTTAAAGCGTTATTATACTATCAACCGTGATTTATACACTCAGTGGGAGTCGACTCCCAGTGAGATGGCGACCCCCTATTTACTGAAAATAAAAAAAAAAAAAAAAAAAAATTGTTTTTTTGAGCCAATCTCCCAATGACACCTCACTGGGAGTCGACCCTCAATAGGGGGTAGGAAGCATTTCTGATTATACTATTGTTTGTCAGTTGCAATAGCTAAACTTAAGTGTATTTTAATAAAAATATCGTACAGTTTATAATGTTAAAAATAAAAATTCAGCTTTTTGATAAAAAAAAAATAAAAAATCGAGAAGATTGGATAGTACTTTAATTCGAGTCCAGTAAATTTATCACTTAAATTATTATAATAATTTAATTTATTCATCTTTTAAACTTTTGTGAGTATATTTTTTTATAATTATATTAATATGATAATTATAATAATATAATTTTATTTTATTTATCTACAAATAAAAAGAATGACGAGTATAATTTTAAAAATAATCTATTACTTCTTCTTTTTTAAATGAATTTATAACATCGTATGATTACAATCAAGATTAGTTTGATTTTTATAATATAAAATTATAATTAAAGTATGTAATATATATCATTAATATCGACATTCATGAGGGACACTAAAATTGATGACAGAGTACTGGTAGAACTTAGGAATGGCAACGGGGTGGGGCCGGGCCGGGGACTACTCCCCCGTCCCCGATCCCCGAAGATTACAAAATCCCCGCCCCCGCCCCCGATCCCCGGCGGGGGAGCCCATCACCCTCCCGTCCCCGTCCCCTAACGGGGATCGGGTTTCCCCGACCCCGACATATCCCCGAGCTTCTATTTTTTTTTTTGAATTTTGTTCAACAAACCACTGAATAATCAAAACATAGATCTGAAAAAAAAATTGCTCAACAAACCACTGAATAATCAAAACATAGATCTGAAAAAAAATTTGTTCAACAAACCACTGACTAATCAGACTGAGTACAGATCAACACAGATTAAAAAAAAAATTTATTAACACAAATCAACATCAAATTATCAACACAAATCAACATATATAATTAACACAAATTAAAAAAAAAAAATTGAACAACACAGATCTGAGTCAACAACAACAACATCAGATCAGAGAGAGAGAGAGGACAAATCTAACAGATCTGCTCTGAGTACACCTTCATCATCTGGTACAGATCTGAGCGACGCCAATGACCAGGCTCTATGGAGAGATCGACGGTGACGGTGGCTGTGGCGGTGGGTTCGGTGGTGGTGAGAGACGAACCTTCTGCTAAAGAATAGAGAGAGACGAAGTTGAGAGAAAGAGAAACCGAGGCGCGGAGAAGAGAGAAAGAGAGGAGGAGGGTCGGGGCCAGCGGTGGTGCTGGTGATGTCGCCATGACGGTGACTGTGAGAGAGCTGTGAGAGAGAGAGAAGAACGAGAGAGTTGAGAGAGCTGTGAGAGAGAGAGAAGAACGAGAGAGTTGAGAACGACAGAGTGAAGAGAGAGAGTTGAGAGAGAATATAAGAGTGAAAGAGTTGAGTCAGTGAGAGAGTTGAGAGAGAATATAAGATGAAAGCAGATATTTATCTACTACAGCTAAGAATTATAAAGGCGGGGATCATCGGGGAAATTTAGGGCCGGGGTCGGGCCGGGGCCGGGGTTGAGAAGCCTATCCCCGTCCCCGGCCCGAAAATTATCGGGGATGTATTTTTCAATACCGTCCCCGGCCCTATGGGGAATAATTTTCTGAAAAAACCCTATTTATCGGGACGGGACGGTCCGGGTCCCCGTCGGGCCGGGTTGATATTGCCATCCCTAGTAGAACTCATGGTAATGGTTGGTAACTTTTATGTGAAATTTAAATGTAAAAAGCTATCAAATAAAACCAACAATGAAACTAAAGATTTGTTAAATGCTCAGACAATGTTGTTGTGTCAACGAATAAAGTTCGACTCAAGATTTCTCTACAGTAATATTATTTTTGGAAATTAGGTTAAAAGTTTATTTTTATTTTATTTTTTTAGCTTTTTTTTTTTGAAAAAAAAATGTGAAAAAATAGAGAAGTGTTGTGATCTAAAATATGTTAAGAGTTAAAAAATAACTTTTAGGGTTGATTTAGGATGTTCTAAAAAAGTACACTTTTTGACTTATAGACTTATATGGGTTGAGTTTGAGTTGGGTTTGATGTGATGTATTAGAGAGATGATATGATTTAAATAAGATGATGTGACTTAAATAGAGTAGTGACTTTTTGACTTTTTATATTATTTAGGCCTCGTTTGTGAACAGGCTAATTTAGTAATTTTTTGGCTATTTGACTAAAAAGGTAGGTAAAAAAAACTTGTATGTTTGGGATGACTTTTTGGCTAATTACGAAAAGCTGTGCAAAAAGTAGAGAGAAAAGAGAATCTTTGACTTTTTGGTATGGGTCGTTGACTTTTTGGCTAATTTAGTAACTTTTTGGCTAATTGATTAAAATAGCCTCTTGCCAAACGAGGCCTTAGTTTATGCCAAATCAACCCTTAATCTTTTACCCCTAAAAAGACTGTAATAGTAAAAGGTGAAAATGATTATGTATCCTCTATTTTAGTATAATGTGAGTAACAAATTGTTAAGCCATCAATA